AATTATTCCTAAATATATAATGTAAAATTATATTTTTTTTTCGGGTCGGTCCAGTTTTTTTCACCCTAAACCCGAACCCGACCCGACCCGAATATCATACTTAAAAAAATTCGACCCGACCTGAATATCACACTTAAAAAAACCCGACCTGAATATCACACTTAAAAACCCCGACCCGACCCGAACAAAATAAAGTTTCAACCGACCGACCCGAATATATGAATTAGAAAGCCGACCCGACCCGAATATCACACTTAAAAAACGACCCGACCTGACCAAAATAAAGTTTCACCCGACCCGACCCGAAATAATAAAAAATATTTTTATTCAATATATGAATAAGTTACCAAAAGATTGATAAGTGTAATATGGTCAAATTTCAATTCCTTCCAACAAGGGAATTGAATTCCATCCATTCTTGGATGGAATTCACTTTCTCTCATTTGATGGAAAGTTGAAGCCATGAGTGATTTCAATTCCCTCGGAAAACTTGAACCAAACATGAGAAAGTGATGAATTAGATTCCAATTCCAAGGGATTCCATCTAACCAAACGTCACCTAAGTCAATGGTTCTTTTAATAGGAAAAGTATGTCAATTGTTAGTTTAACTTTGTAAGAATAATCAAGTTGAAAACATCGGAAATTGTTTAAATAAAAAAATTAGCTGACCCTTATTCTCATATGTAAGACGGAAATTGTTTAAATAACGTATGGCTTAATTATTGATTCCTGGAACCTGCATAATCCCATGGTTTCAACAGAAAACGGATGTAAACATATTTGTGGAATGGCGGAAACCAGGCCCAACGAAATTGTATAACATATGGACCGAACAATCTGCTCAGCCATTTGTTCTTTTCTTTCCGGCAAACTATTAAATAATGGTTTCTCATTTAGGCAATGATTTTCACTGTCCAGACAGAGGAAGCATCCATTTATATGGGTGGCACGATGTGCAGAGCCGATTGAATTTGGTCCCCGAAACTCGGTTCCTTTATTGAGGAATAAATTGAAACCGTATCCACAATTTAAGGTTCACCAACTTCGCCTGGACTGCATTTTTAACCACATAAAGGATTACTCTCTTTAATTGATCATACACAAACTCCATTTGGATCATTTTCTTCCACGTTGATTTTTTAAAAAACAATAACAACATTGTTTTAAGACCAAATTTGGAAGTTGACTATTAATTAAACTTAAATTAATATTATTTTCAATGTACCATATACTTGATTGATATTTTCTTTTATATTGATAAATTAAATGAGAGTACCCAAAAAAAAGAATTAAAGAAGGAATATTGGGTTGAGTTAGAGTTGGGTTTCTTTAATTGGATCATTAGGCTCAAAAACCGAGGAAATGGTCACATTTCTTTCATGGCCGTCGGTCCCCATCTTACTTTTTATTGGGTTTCAAGTTTTAAAGAGCACACGAACTAAAAGTGTGTAAATTAAAGTATAGAGACCAAACCAAAAACATAATTCAAATGCTAAAGCTAATTGATGCCACATCTTATTTGTAAAACTAATAAATTGACTCTTTATTCTGAAATACAAGATATTCTAACATAGTACTTGTGCAGATATAAAAGCAAAGGTAGAGCCAACAATGGAATTGGTTGGTAGAGAGTGGAAATGCAATGCAACTGTTACAGGTGATATACGCCGACAGGAAGCAAAGAGAAAAGTGGCCAGGAAAGGAGCAAAAATACACAGAGCGCCAAAACACAATGTTGTCACCCGCACTATCTATTCTTAAGTTAAACAACAAACGCATAATTTTATATTTAAGGTAGTAAACTTATAATTTTTTAAAGGAAAATAAACTTATAAAATTTTATGAAAACGAAAATAGATTTTTAATAAAAAATATACAAATATATATATATAATATATAAAATTTTAAAATTTGAGTATAGATATATACCTGCTTAGCTTCCCTTCCCCTAATCATATTACTATTTATTTCCCTCGCCTATAATTGGTTAGTACAGAATGGTGATATTCTTTAATAAAAGTTTGAACACTAATCTTTCTTGTTTCAAAACCTAGCCCATAATATAATTGTAGAATATACTTTATCAACAAAATTAATTTGGTCTTTTGCAGTAGCTTATGCCATGAAACCTCAACACGGTAAATTCATTTTATAAGATGTATCACGTGATTTCTATTCAACGCTTGTTGAACTTTGCACCAAAGCAAGACTCGGTTTTTGGTTTGTTTATGAATTAAAAAAAATTAGGGTAAAGTATTCAAATGGTCACCGACTATAGAATACTGTTTTATTGAGTTCTTGAATTATTAAAAATCACAAAATTATATCACAATTATATGATGTTGTTTTGTTGAGTTCCTTGATTATTAAAAGTTAAAAATAATCGCTTGACTATTCATATGTTTCATACTCGTCATTTTCTGTTAAAAATTTAACAACAGTCTATGTTGGACGTTAACCTACTAACTCATATATGACAAAATATAATCTCATAATCTCAAATGACTATTATATCTCAGTCAACATGTTAACGTCCAACTCATACGACTGTTAATTTTTAACAGAAAAATACGAGTTTAGAACATAATGAATAGTCAATTGATCGTTTTGTAACTTTTAATAGTCAAATGACTCAACAAAACAACGTTTTATAGTCGAAGAACCATTTTGTAACTTTGAATAATCGTGAGACTCAATAAAACAGAATAATATAGTGAGAGAACATTTATGTACTTTACCCTTAAAACTAATAATAATAGACAATTGATTATAGGGTAAACTATGTATTTAATAACTCAACTATCATTTTGGTCACCTATTTTTTTTTTCAAAATCATCACTAATATTACGTTTTTGTTTATTTGTCGTTAAAAAATTTAACTATAATATTAGCATGTCACCATAAGATAAGACCATGTCATAATTGAGAAAGAATCACGTCAATAGTTCTGCTAAATTTTAAATGACAAGTGATTAAAATGAAACCAAAATGTAATATTAGTAATGTTAAGAGAAATAATTAGGTAACCAAAACAAAATAGATAATGAAGTAACTAAATATGCCGTTTACCCTTGATTTTATTCATCTAAAACGGCTGGTATAACATATTGTTTTTGAATGAGACCTCTCGATATTTGAAAACTAGATAAATTTTAATAAAATATAAAAAAAGTTAAAAACATGATAATATAATGCTATAGAGAGAGAACCTGAAACAAGTATACATGTATGTTAAACAGAGAGATGAGAACAGAAGATGAAAAGGGCAATGGACGGCGATGGGTTATATCAGTTTCCGAAGGCTTAGAAGTTAGAACCCTAAAACAAATGAATTTAGAAACCTGTCAGCTCCACACAAAACTCTCGCTCTCGCGTTCTGGCGCAGCCTCCTTTCACAACAACGAGAAATCGAACCCTATAACTGGAATATACTTCACCACGCTAACAATTTCCAATTTTTAAAATGGCTTAATCAACCATTTGTAGGTTGAAAACGGGGTACAATTTCGTGAATTTCGTATCGTATCAACTCTAATTTGGGCGGAGATAGGTATAATTTTAGTGGGCAGTGGCTGAGTGTGGATTTAGAAAGTGATACCTGTCGCTAGTAGTGGGCAGGTGATGGGTTTGAGACTTTACCCGCCCCAGATCAGCCTGCCCCACATCTGTCTGCCCACTAAATACCCATTAAATTTTGGACAATTATGGATTTGGTATAATTTTAGAGACTAATTTATAAATCTTAATATTGTATAAGATATATACTGTCAGGCAGGTATAGTCGGGTACGTCTCCAGTTGGGTAGTGGGTGTGGGGATGGATTTGAAAATGTACCCGCGTGGGTGGGTGTGGATTTGAAAAATTTTACCCATCATGAGTGATGAACGGGTGATGGATTTAAAAATATTAGGTAGGTATGGAATAGAGAGGGTATATCCGCACCCGAGCGGCTTATTTGTCATTCCTAACCATTTGTGGTTTGAATTATATATTTGTATTGAATTACTTTTTAAAAGTTTTTTTAGAATTCACAGTCCTTTAATTTTAAAATATTATTCAAGTTATTTTAAAATATAATATGTCATTTTTAATTAAATTAAAAAATTATTTACTTTTTCTCTTATTTTTCTTTATCGTTTCTTTCTTTTCTTCTTCTTTTTAATTATAAAAATTGAAAGTTAGTTTAAGAAATAATTTATTTATATCAATTAATGTTTGAAGCTATTTCATGAAATTTACTGTTAAGAGTCCCATTGGTGACTGACGGTGATTTAAGTTTATTGAAATTTGAGTTGTGCGATGCCATAAATGGGGAGAATTTGAAATGTTTAACTAACATAATATTATATTTAACTAACATAAATCACATTTAACCATTTTATTAAAAGGATATATATCAGTTTTTATAAAAATTTAAAATAAAATTAATGACGTTATATAGTTAAATAAAGTAATAAACAATTTAAAAAATAAAAATAATTATTTGATGTTAATAATAAAAGAAAATATTTCTTTTTATAAGTCTTGAATTTGAATAAATACATTTATAAAAAATATTTTTTATCAATTAATTAAAGAAATTATAAATATATATTATATTATAATTACACAGATTAATTTAAAAAATAAATAACAACTCAATATGTAATTTAGAGATAAATGTTTGTCTAAGAATTAAAAAAAACTGTTGTTATGCTATTAAATTTCAAAATAAATACCCTAAAACAATAAAGAGCAAAAGAAGAAAAAGAAAAAGACACCCTCATATAAATGTAATGTATACATGCCTACAGTCCCACACCCATCTCCTTCACTTTCTTTCACATTTATAACCTTTTTTTTTCTCTTCTCTCATTCCTCGCCACCTCTAATATCTTCTATCTTTCCCTCTTGCAAACCCCATATATTATCATTTTCTTCATATCCACTCTTTGTCCCTATCTGGGCTCTTCTTTTTCTTGTTTCGTCTGGTGTTGGTTTTTGGTGGTGATGACGACGATGACGGTGAAAGATGAGCAGGTTCGAGCGGCGATGACGATGAAAGATGAGTGGGTTCGGGCGGCCATGACGGACGACAACATGGTGGTCGAGTTGCTGGTAAGGCTCAAACAAGCGCAGACTGCGCCATCGGCTCCAAAATCTGCGGTGGTTGCACTCAAATGGGGAATACGTCAACCGAGGTCTAAACCTATGTCGATCGATGCGACGCCAAGAGAGATGGAGATTTCAACGCCAGCACTAGGCGTAGCCCCACAACGCCTCTTTCATGGAGCGGTGGAGGCGGCTCTGCCTCTCCTTCTGCCGCCGACGGCTTTGAAGAGACCAGTAAACAGGTCTCTCGCTTCCAAACAGCCGCACTTTCCAGATCCAAGGTTTGTTTTCACTTATCTCTCATTCTATCCCTCGCTTTCAGCAGCTGATCATTCGGCGTTTCTTGCGGTGGTCGGAGTAGGCGAAAATGTCCCTCTATCGCATGTCAAATTATATACCACTACCATCGTCTTCCGTTTGTATCTCGTCGGCGAGACATTCTTGTGTTACTGGATAACTTATTTCTATTGTTAAAACTCCCTAGTTTTCAGGTCAAATGACCGTTAAACCCTTCTTTAATCTCCTTATTTACTTGATCCTATTTCTTTCCGTGTCATGTAAACCAATACTTTTTGGTTTTCTGGAATCTCGACTGTATTCTTCTTTCCATTCCATTTTTCAGCGGACGAAACTTTCCGTACAATTACTCGCCGAGGCTTATTCTACCTTTTTTATTACTTTTCTCGTTATCTCTCCGCCATCGGCTTAACAGGATAACATTAATAACAAAATGAATAAACCTATTAACAAGCAGTGCCATCTTTTTTACCCGTTCGGTTGGACCAAAACACCCTTCCGTTTTAAAGGATATTTACAGTTAACACGCGAGGACAACACCGTAAGCAGATTGGAACTCCTTTTTTGACGTTTTCTTCTCGCCTCGTTTTTGGTCACCAGTCATTCTTTTGTTGGCTACTTCTAGATTTAAATGTCCGTCCACCCCCCACCGTATGATCTAGGAATCTTCCCACCAGAGGATCTCCTTTAAGGGTATTGTGGTCATAAACAAATAAGTAGGGTCCACCGAAAGAGGGGTGTTGGTCTGCGTTTTGGGTTTGGTGTAATTTTGTTAAGAGACGGACGGGAGCAGTTTTGTTTTGGGTTGCGAACAGAGGAGTTATCAAGTGTGACGCGGGTACGGTTAAATTCTGTGGATCTTCCCTTCCCATCTCTTTCTGTAACTGTACTTCTATCTGTTGTCCGGGTTTTTCTCTCGTGTTTATCTTTCTTCCTTCTTTATGGCTTTCGCTTTTCCCGAGATGGGAATATCTTTTTGAGTTTCGGCCCCACACTTTCCCATCATCTATGATTATGCATCGGATGTATCATAGACCGTGTGATTTGTAGAAAATTTTCAGCATGTAATAAGAAACGTTGACATATAAATCAAACACGTAGTGATCCACTAACTATTTGCCTTCAGAAAGATCATACGATAGGAAGTCACGTGACGTCGACCGTATAAATACTATAGATAGAGGCATAAAGCATTAAATTCAATCATGTGTCTTACATCCTAACTAATATGACGTGGCGTGTTACTATTGGTTCACTTGTGTGAGAGGCAAAATTAGTGGCATTGGCTTCCCTGTTTCAATCCCGCTGTCTTCCGAGATGATCTCCAAATCCGCCATTGGAACATCCTAGAAATCTCATTATCAGTGTTAGATTTTAATTTATTTGGAGGGTTTTAGTTGACCACCCCAACTTTCCTAACTTTGGGTCGGGTATATTTAACCCCTTCAGACAATTTGTTGGTTCTTGCCTTGGTCTTAAATTTAATGATTGGTTGATGTATGCTGCAGGGTACTGCTGGTAATGAAACTACTGGCACAACTTCCAAGAGATCGAGAAGGAAGAAGGTAAAGTAGTTGATCTTACGGTTCATGATTTTTCTGCGAAATGTTGTATGCAAGAAAAATCTGAAGATGATTCATGGGTATATATTAACAATTAAGAATACGTCATATTTTCAGACTTTTGCTGAACTCAAGGAGGAGGAAAATCTGCTTCTGAAGGAAATGGTTAGTTTGAAAAAGGTGCGTCGAATGTTCTTCTACGCGGTGCCTTAACTGATTTCCTCATGCCTTTTTTACTGCTTCTAGATAACCTTACAGCCATCTTCTTGTTCGTTGAACAGGAGATAGCATCTGTGCGTGCTACTTGCAAAGAACAGAGAGCTAAGAATGAGAAATTGAAAAGAATTAAGGTCAGCAAAATGGTCCTTTAGTAACTTGAGTGTACTAATATGAAAATTCATTAATCACCATCTTGCAAATTCTCAGCATATAATTGGCCAAACTAAGTATTTATGAAGAAACCTGCATTTCCTTTTGAGAAATATTATTCTAATACCCTTTTTTTTATGTTAACTTCCAGCTTGATTTGAACTTGCAAATTGCAAAGAATGAGCCCGAAGAAGTACCTTATTGTCAACCCCGTCAGAGAGTATTCTCTACTCTTGACTACGGTCCCTCGCCCTCACTTGCACGTGCTCTTGATGATCATAAATCACTACTAGATTCTTGCAATGTAGGGAAGGTTGTACTGCCTGATCTAAATATGATTCCGGTCGAAGATGATTCTGTCGCTGAGACTTTATACAGCACCACCTGAAAAAGATGATTCGACTACTTGGACCTTCTGGCAGCTGAAGGTTGCGAGAAACCGGTGGGACTAGCAGAAAATATTGAGACTGGACTAGGCAATGAGCTATTTGCTGATTAACTATACTGATAATCAGGCCAAGCAAACAGATATCACAGTTTGAGCTTGCTCCAGGTTCCGACCCTTGAAAAGGCAGAAGAAGCTGACCGGCTATGGAGAAGATTCTGCGAGTAGTGTAGAGATCCAAGCTTGTAGATGGCAAGGATTCTTGTCATGGTGCAGGCTCCTACATTCCTCCCATATTCGTTGGGGTAAACCCTCGTTACTTTATAATTACGAATTTAAATCGTAATAACTGTGAATTCTTTGTAGGCGTAACCTGATGGCTTGGCCGTGTAAGCTTTCTTCAAAACCAATTTCAGAATTTTGTTGTTACAAACTCTGTTTTCAGTTTACAGCCCCCTTTTTTCAATTATTATGTGCAATTCGGGGGAGGAATTTCAGGAAGGATTGATATCGTTTCTCTATATCTTCTTCATGACCATATGCATAGCTCGTGTTTGGTTTTTCTACACAGTAGCTTTTGTCAGTGATGTTCCTTTGACTGCCTCAAAAGGTTGATGATTGAAATTTCCAATCTTTGAAAATGGAGCGTTGTAAGAATCACAGATATAGGAGTTCTGGTAAAAAACGATGCCATTCATTCAATTCAAATTAAAATCGCACACAGCTGTTTATGGGTTTTATCCTTGCACTTTGGTACGACATATAGTATTTGTAGGATTATACATTACGGATTTTCATAGTAGTTGGATTATCAACCTCACTGAGGCAATTTGATCGCTGTGCATGTCAAAGCTCATGGATTCGCCGCTCGAATGAAAAATGCAAAATCTTCTTTTTAATTAAAATTTTAGAAATCCCAATGATTTTTTTTTTTAAATGGTATTGCATATTAAAGTTGTACAAAAAATCCGAATATCCGATTTTGTGTAAAAAATATCTGAAATTGGATTTGGGAAAAATTGGTTTTTTTAACTAGATCGGATTTTTTTAACTGGTTATTTTAACCGGTTTGAAAAAAAACCTAGATCGGTTTTTTTACCGGTTAAAAAAATAGTTTTTATCCGAAAAAAATCAATTTGGGTTTAAAAAATTAGTCGTTAATATAATCGTTTGGGGGGTTTTGTGATCGTTTTTAACCCTTTTTTTTTAAAAAAAAATTACCATTTTACCACCCTAAACATGTATAAATAAGTTGGGGATGTATTTGGTTGATTATAACTTTCTCAAATCTTTTTACACAACACCTAAACATCTCTCAAATCTTATTTTTGTAATTTTTTGTTCATCATGAGTAACACAACTGAATATTTTGTCAGGGGAAACCTTGAAGTCGTGAGAGTGATCGAACACACTCGAAACAAAGATATTTGGGATCACTACGATTTATGTGAGATGTCAAAAGGCTCGAGGAGGGCGCGTTGTAAACTTTGTCTAAAGTTGCTTGCACCGGAAGGAAACACAACGTTGAAGAACCATTTAACAAAATCATGCAAGGCACTTCGCTTAAGATCAGATCCAAGTCAATCGAATCTTACACCGCAAGGTGATATTTTTGTTTACGACAACGAAAAATTACGAGAAGCGTTTACAAAGGTCGTGATTACAAAAACATTGTCGTTCGACCACTTTGATGATGAAGATTTCACGGCAACAATTTAACAACTAATGCAACCACGTTATACTCAAGTAAGTCGTACTATCCTTAGAAGAGATGATATACAAATGTGGCGTACGGCGAGAGAAAAAATGATTTTAGGATTTCAAGAACACCGTTATGGTGTGTCGCTTACATGTGACGTTTGGAGTTCTCCTCATAATACCGGAAATTCTTTTTTAGCCGTTACGGCACATTAGTTAGATCAAGATAATTGGCAAATGATGAAAAGAATAATCACGTTTAAATTATTCGGTGAGCCGCATACCGGTGCTAATTTATTTACACTTTTAAAAAGGGTAATTTGTCTTTATAAATTAGAAAATAAAGTTTTTTCTATATCATTTGATAATTCATCGAATAATACAAACGCGGTTCCAAGATTGAAAATATTACTTTCACCGATTTTAGACGGTGCGTTTTTTCATACCCATTGCGTTGCACACATAATTAATTTATCCGTACAAGCCGGTTTGCAGATTATTGAGCCGATTAGATTAGAATTTAAAACAATGATAAAATCGGTTCTTTGTAACAACAACAAAAGACTAAATGATTATAAACGATTTTGTAAGTCGGTTAATAAAAAAGCTTTGGATCCTAATTTGGATTGTCCAACTCGTTGGAACTCAACTTGGATGATGATGCATACCGCCTTAAGGCACATTACAAACATTTCACGATCGGCTTTTCGAGAGGGGCCATGTCCCAAACATTTATCCGGATTCGAGTTGGGAAACTATAGCCAAAATAACCGATTTGCTTGGGGTTTTTAAAAATACAACAACTTTTTTATCCGGTGTTTATTACCCTACTAGCCCGTTGGTTCTTAATCAAATATTTTTGTTGGCTACCCGACTAAATGACTTTGAATTTGAAACCGAAGTTTTTCAAGAAATTGACTTTGCAATGAAGGAAATTTTTTTAAAATATTTTAAGGAGATTCCCCCCATTTTTACTTGTGCCGCCGCTTTAAACCCAATGTTAAATGTTGGCGGGGTTGAAACACTAATTTAACAAATTGTGTTTGCTTTTAATCTAACCGATGATGAACCCAATTTTGTCCAAAACCAAATAAATTATTTTAACAAATGTTTTCGAGACATGTTTGCAATTTATTTAACTAAATACGGATCAAGTAGTGTAATACACGATTAAATGAGAACGAATGCGGAATCATCTAGTAGACGTCAAAGTAACATAAATTTGAATTTTGTTTAACATTCTTGTAAATTCCCAATCTAAACGATCACGTATTATCATCCCAAGTAGCGAGTTGGGAAATTACATGTCATGCGATTTTCTATCAAAAATGACATTTGAAGAGTTTGAAAGTTTGGATATTTTGGCTTGATGGAAAGAAAAGGAAGCACAATTTTCGATTCTAGCCGCCATGCCCGTGATTTACTAACCATCCAAGCTTCTACGGTAGCTTCGGAATCCACTTTTTCTGCTAGTGGCAGGGTTATATCGTAACGGAGATCAAGACTAAGTCCCGAGTCGGTGGAAGTATGCATTTGTTTGAAGGATTATTTGGATGGAGCAGCTCGGAAACAACATATCACCACCTTAGAAGATGCAATTGATGCCGATTTGGAAGTAAACTTACACATTGAAGAAGTCGAACTTGGAATATCCCCTCCAAACGAAGAAGGCGAAGATGATGAAGAAGAGATGGCAATGTAGTTTATTTTTAAACTTTATTTCAATTATCGTAAACTTTGTTTCAATTATCGAACTTAGAAGTTTTTAAGTATTTGAATTTATCGAACTTGGAAGTATTTAAATATTTCAATTATCGTAAACTTTGTTGCAATTGATGACGATGCAATTTTAATAATATTATAATCGATTTTTTTATAATCGATTTTTTTAAAAAAAAATGGTTTTTTCAAACTGAAATCAGTTACACCGGTTAGGATATCCGACCCTCCAAACCGATTAGAATCTGAACCGGTTATTTTATAAACCGATTTTTTGTCTATGGAAAAAAAACGGATCGGATTGAAATCCGGCTTATGTGCATGTCTATTGCACATTCCCAGGAAATGGGTTGAGCATCAACTATGAAGCTTGATGAATGGATGTGATACCGATTGTTTCAGATATAGTGTCAGCTGCAAGTGGACCGCACTTATTCTCCACCCTGATCCCTGTCACAATGTTATTGTTCATGGAGGGCCATCCAAACCAAAATAAATAGCAATGTTGTGAAAAGGTACCATTTAAAACTCCGGTGGCTTAGACAGAGAGAAACTATGAGGGGTACAACAAGGCAAAGATAGTAGCTGCCTGCAAAACAACTGAACATCGCCACTGCATTGACTTGTGGATCCTGTTGGACCAAGATCAAGGGATTAACTAATCTTCAAGCGCTGCCAAACCTGTAAAGCCCTCTTTCTTGCTCTGCTTCGCCATTATTCTGATAACATATCCTCTTAACTTCACACTGGCTTGAGCATTGAAGAGGGTCTGGGTACACAAGTTTAATTTTAACTTTGTATTGCAAGAAGCTAGCCCAGTAGCTCTACCTCACCCAAACACTTGCCCACCTCCCTATGCGTAGACCAAAACGCCATTCCATGGCTATTTATATTTCTTCGTAATTAAAATGTATGACCTACGCCTGCATAATGTGTTTAAAATAAATTATCAATATCTTTTTAAAGAGATGGCTGGTAGAATATATAATGTCATTGTTTTTAAATTTTAATATTTTTATTTTTTGACACGAAATTAATGTTTTCATCTTGTTTCAAGACGTATATTCCATATCTCTTAGAGAGAAAATAGACTTGCTTTACATGTCTTCAAGAAATTGGGGTTGTTGGTGATTGGCTAATGAGTCTAAATCTAATGCCGCATGGGACAAAGGAAGCATAGACTGTGCTTGAAAATGAAATTCGTGTATGAAGAAGATTTACGATTGAAACACCTTTGGGCATACAGAGAGAACTTATTAAAAATATATATAATAATTATTAGAGAGATAGATATTATATTATTAAGATATGCAAATATATAGTCCAACCAATCTAACATTCACATTGCAAATTCTTTGAATTGAATGATAAAAATGAAAAATATTTTATTATTAATCATCGTCTTTGATGGAATCGCCTCTTCCCAACAAGCCAAGAAATCGACTTTACAAGTTACCACGTTGTTTTATTTTTTTTCACCAATTGCATTGCAATTATAACTATATATTGATTTTGATAGTGTTTGATTCTGTTCTGTCAGTCCACCAACAATCATTCATGTTTTTAATCTTATCACATCTTTTTTT